GTTTGCATTCTTGCTCGGATTATCTTTCACTCCCGGCGCCAACCACTTGAGCACATTTGTCGGCTATTAAGAGTCTTATGGTAGTATTTTCTTTGGGATTTTTTTTTTTTTGTCTATATACTGCTTTTGATGTCTCTCACTACGGTCATGGCCATTGACAAAGCTGGCTTTGTCTGATTTTGGATGAGGCTGTTGTATCTTGGTTGTAGTACCTGTCAGTCCCTGAGTGAGCAGTGACAGTAATCTCCTGAACCAGGCTGAGGCCCAGGCAGGGTGGACAGACACATGTATCTCTTATCTCCCCGTGGTCTCAGTTTCCTGCTGGCCTGCCTGAGTCTGAGCTGGTTCTGAGAACCCTGATGCGTCTCTTGTCTCCGCCCGGGGCGGTCGGGTTGATGGCCTGTTTTCTCAGGGACAGCTGGGCGCTTCACAGGGTGTGGCTCCCTGTCCCCTGTCACCAGGCTAATCCCCCTGCACATCCCCCGGTACAGATGGACAATGTAGAGATTAATAATTCACAGTATGTGGATAAGGGTGATCCTCGCTAGACTGGGACATACTTGCCTTTTGTTCCAAAACATCTTGATGATGAGACACCCAATGGTGAGCCAGGAGTTAGAAGTAGAGAAACTGGATAAAAAAATAAAAAATGAACAAGACAGACTTCATTTGTCAGCAATCAGCAGCTGACTAACCTGTTCGGGGCTCATCGCACTGCCTGATGTTTGGATAGTGGACAAGCAGAAATATTGTTTACTGACACCTGTGTTCATATGATTTTTGTAGCACCCAGAGCTCCTATTGGTGTTTGTAGTCATAACCGAGTTGACATTCAGCCCGGGTTTGGTCCCGGGGAGGAGAAATCAGGGTGCTCCGTGAAATACCCTTTCTGTCCTCTCAGGAGAGAAGCGGAAATGAGTGTCCTTTCTGCTCTCTGGGTTAGAGGCAGATGACGCTGTGCCCATTAGCAGTGGGATAGCGGATAGCTGGCAGGTCCTGTGTAATCTGGTTCCCTTGTGTGTGCGCAGCAGGTACCGCATCTGGGGGGCAGAGTTCCGAATAGGACTTATGGGGCCTTCAGTTGCAGTGGCTCCAGTGGAAGAGCAATGGGGTTTCCTCTGTCTAGACCAGCGGTTCTCAACCTGTGGGTCGCAACCCGTTTGGGGGTCAAACGACCCTTTCACAGGGGTCGCCTAAGACCGTCGGAAAACACATCTATAATTACATATTGTTTTTGTGATTAATCACTATGCTTTCATTATGTTCAATTTGTAACAATGAAAATAACATCCTGCATATCAGATATTTACATGACGATTCTTCACAGTAGCAACCTTACAGTGATGAAGTAGCAACGAAAATAATTTTATGGTTGGGGGTCCCCACAACATGAGGAACTGTATTAAAGGGTCGCGGCATTAGGAAGGTTGAGAACCACTGGTCAGAATCATTGGAGCATTATTATTCCTCAGGATTAACTCTGTTCGTCCAAGTGTATAACACATGTTTTGAAATAGAGTATTGAAATAACGTAAAAATATCACGTACCCTTAGCAATATCTCAGTACTTCACATAATACTGTTTTCATGGTGCAATTTGACACGTCTTTGAAGGTTAGAAATTCTAAAAGATTAAACAAGACATTGCAGACGTTAGAGAGGGGATCAGTGGGCTTATCAAACTCTGTCATCGTCGTAATCTGATGAAAGAACTCTGCCTTTAGGGACTTTCAACTATGCAATTTTTTTTTCAGATTTCCTTTATTTTTCCTAATTTATCACATTAGCTTTTAGTCAGATTAGGTATAAATAAGTAATTACCCTTTGTCTTGGAGGTGAAGTCATTCGATACCTCCCGGAGCACACATTTAACGTTAGTCAGACCCTCTGTTTCCTTTCTAATGGAGGCAGCTGAGATAAGTGCTTCATTCATAGATCGAAGTGCATAAATCTAAAGCTCTGTGCACTAAGTTGCTTATCATGTGACACTTTGATTTCCCTTTTCCATTAACAAGTGTCTTTAGAGCATGTGCAGTTATTGGAAAACCATTGCTGCTTCTCATTTTGCTCAAGTCAGGAAGGCATCCCCTCTGGACGTCTCTTAAACTCCCGGTGAGTAACCGGAGGCCAGGCTGGCTGAGTCATCAGCACCGAATTCCCATTAGAGCAGTGGTTCTCAACCTTGGCTGCACATTAGAATCACCTGGGAATCTTTTTAAAATCCTGATTTCTGGGCCTCATCCTCCGGAAATTCTGTTTCTTTGTTATGGGGTGGGGCCACCACATTAGTAAAAAAGAAACAGAATTTCCGGAGGATGAGGCCCAGAAATCAGGATTTTAAAAAGATTCCCAGGTGATTCTAATGTGCAGCCAAAGTTGAGAACCACTGCCCTAGAGTCAGCTACCCTGGGTTTGTAACCCCAGTTCTGATACTCCCTAGTTCCTAGAACAATGTCCAATACCTCATAGAGCCTCAGTTCTTCACCTATAAAATGGATAGTTATTGCCTCATAGGGCCCTTATGAGGAGGAAATGATTAATCTGTATGTAGTGCTAAGGGAAGCTCCTGCCACAGGGTAAGTGCTGTCATGGTATTATTATTGCTATATTCATTTCAAACGGGCCGGATCCGGCCCGCGGGCCGTAGTTTGCCCATGGCTGGCTTAGACTCTAAGCCTTAGAGAAAGGTCTGTGTGGCAACAGGGTTGGTATGGAGAGAAATGTAGTGATAGATTCACCAGGTCTGTTGTGTAGATGAGCAATAGCATTTCATCAGATTAGTGTTGAACCTTGACCTAAAGACCTGTCCTCTTTAGTTTAATCCAGGTAGAAAATGAGTTTCTCTAAGGGAAGACCTATACTAGATATTTTGTAATATATGGTGTATTTTAGGGTGTATTTTCTTCTAGTAAGTTATGGTTATTTTTTCTTTTCTATAATTTGAAATGAATGAGCTTGGAGAAAATGGAATCTGTTTCCCAAGGTCCTGGAGAATATATGTTTATAAATATTTTTCCAGCGATAATTGGTAATGAAAAGGTAGGTGTTTTGTGGCTTTCTTAGGGTTCCCATATAGGAAGCAAGGAAGAGGAGCTTTTTCTCATGAGGACACAAGGAGAAATAGGTCTAGGTTGTCAAAGAAGGACCTGGATCAAAAGATGGCAACCTCATTGCCGTCATTGTTGTGAGTTGCTCTTACTTAGAGAAAGTACCGTCTCCTCTGAAGAACTTAAGAATTGTTTAAATGGAATCCATTTGAAATAGATAATAGGTGTGCATGAACCTGAGTGGGAATTTATGTTTTTTTTAACATAATTATATATACTAGTATATATATCGCAAATTAATGAGTTAAAAAATAATTTTCAAATACAGATGTCAAGATTTGAAAATGGTGACTGAAATCCGGCCTCCACCTCTAATGTACGAAGAACATTTTATGTTATAGTTACAGTTTTCTGGGTTGAAACCAGCGAATTTAATCATGAGATTAGAAGAAATTTTATTTATCTATTTATTTATTTTTTAAAATATATTTTATTGATTTTTTACAGAGAGGAAAAGAGAGATATAGAGAGTCAGAAACATCGATGAGAGAGAAACATCGATCAGCCGCCTCCTGCACATCTCCTACTGGGGATGTGCCCGCAACCCAGGTACATACCCTTGACCGGAATCGAACCCGGGACCCTTCAGTCTGCAGGCCGACGCTCTATCCACTGAGCCAAACCGGCTTCGGCGAGATTAGAAGAAATTTAAACCTGAAATCAATGAAATTACCAATTGGTTGCTTGGTGCTCCAGTTGATATTCATGTAAAAATACCCACTACAGTAGAGTAGAACTATTAGTCATATATCACTGCTGTCATTAGCATAGTTCTGCTATGAATGTAAGACTTGGATCCTTTGCTGAAAGTGTTTTGTGGCTAGTGTTTCCCTGATAATTATTCCGGTTATCTATTGCTATGTAACAAACCACCCCAAACCTTGGCGGCTGAAAGCAACAACCCTGGAGGGTCCACGGGGCTGTTAGCAGGGCTGGGCTTCTCTCTTTCTCGTGTGGTCTCGGGGCCTCTCCTTCCCACAAGGCCTCTTCACAGTATCACCAGCGGGGTAGCCAGACTTCCTACTTGTGGCTCAGGGCTCACAAAGCAACCATCCAAGAGGGAGGAAGCAGAACCTACCAGCACTTTAAAGCCCAGTCCTGCTCTGGCCGGAGGTAGCTTGCACCGCATTGTGTTGGTTAATGCCTTACAGACCTGCTCAGTTTCAACAACGTGGGAGAGAAGGGTGTGAGGCTGGGGCCTGGGGACCATTTTTAGAGATGAACTACTATAGTCATCTGCCCTAAAATACTTTGTTTTAAACTGTATGTGAAGTATGTGCTGGTGAGTGTAAGCTTCAATGCTAGTGTTGGTCAGTTGCACTAACCAGGAATTGCTACACGAGATGTCCTCAGCCAGCAGTACATGCGAAGGGCTGGTCTACAGGAGCTGCCACTAAAGGCATCTAGTTATTCAAATCCTGATTGAAAACTCGGCCAGGCAGTTGGCTGTCTCTTGCCGGAGGAGGGACGTCGGGCCCACAGGGACAAGGAGGCTTCCCTGGGCAGATGCTGGGTGTGGTGGGGTCCCTCTTGTGGGTTCTGCCACCCAGCCCAGTGTCCCCAGGAGGATTAGGGAGTCTTTGTCTCTTTGTCTCCTTGGTTAGTGGGTTAGAGAGGAGCTCTCCCATTCAGTCCTCCTGCTGATAGTACTGTATGTAGTGAGTATCAACCACTGAGGTGTCCGTGACCTTAGAGATCAAGTCTAATCTTCAGCCCTGAATTTAACCTTCCCTCGCTTCCTCCAGCACATTCCTCAGCAAGCCAGAAGCAGAACTCGGCCTTTCCCCGTAAAGTTTCAGAAGGATTGCTTCTCCCTTAGAAACTGCCCTGTGGAGTGTGGGTGCATGTGTCCGCCCAGACTTCTGCAGCCTCACTCTCTCCTTGTTATTGCAGAACGTGTGAGGAGAACCTTTCACCACCTGAGAGAGTACAATGCCACTGTTAGAGGTGGTGCACTGGAGCCTCCTATTAGCGCTGAAGGAGGAAGTGAGGACACTGGGACTGCCTGGCACGAGCTACAGCACAGCCACGCCGGTGAGTTGGATGCAGCCCTCACCCGGGTGACCCACAGGGAATTCTTTAAACTCCGTATGGTAACAACTCCAGCCCCTCTCCACTCCAGGATTTTATCCCTGGAACACAAATCAGCTAATGCAATTCCTTGCTTAATTTTTTTCCCTTTGACTTCCCAATGCCTATATAGGCCAGAGTCCAAAATTCTTAGTATATCATAGCAACTTTTTCATAGATGGCTCCAAGCGACCTTCCAGCCTCGTTTTTCTAGCCTCCTTCCAACATCCATCTTGCAAGGCATGCTCTAGTCAGACCAACCTACTGGCCATGCTCCTATGCTTTTGATGTGCATGCCTTCTACTGGAATTTGCCTCCCCCTTTTCTGCTTAGTGATCTCCTGTTCGTCCTGTACAGTGTTATCTTCTCTGTGAAAACAGGTACAATTAGGTGCTTCCTCTTTTTGTAACACTATCTATGGCTCTAGGTCTACATACAAACTTATATTGTTTTATATCTATTAGTGTATCATCCTTGCCCAGTGGAGTCTTAGCTCCTAAGTGGGCAAGGTTTCCTCACCTTTGCTTTGCATCCCCTGTTCTTGATGCATAATGTGTGTTTAAACAATATTTGTTAGATGGATGGGAGAATGGCTGGGTGACGATAAACCATGGATCGCCAATAAGGTTAATAAACACATTGCTTCTGCCTTGTAGTTATTCAACTCAAAGCCTTGTTGTACCAACAAGCAACTAAGGAAAATGAGGTGTCTCCATCAAGAAGAAAAATGTCCCCTTTGGTAAGTATCAACATTTGCAACCCAACGAAAGCATTATTTTTCTAACTGTGTTTTAACTGTGCAGTGTCATTTTAGTAGGAAATGTGGTAGGCCAGTTCTGAGCAGGGCGTTCTGATAATGTAAATACAGCATAAGAAGAAATTATTTTCCCTCTGATGATTTTAGCTGCAGAAGAGAGACTTCTATGGCAGAGGGAATCCTGGTTTTTTATTTTATTCTTCACTTGAGAAACATGAGTGAGGAAATAGTTTAGAGAATTTACTTTGCAACTATTAGCAAATATAAAAAAGGGACAATATGTGGAAAAGATTAGCCATTTCTTTTTTAGAGGGCTATATTTGTGTTTGATCGTTTTTAGAATTTACTTAATTATAATTCCAGCTGTCCTTTGTAATACGCTTTTATTGTGAATGTCAAAACCGAAGTTTGTAATCTTATTCTACGTTTAAAAACACATGGTTATAAAATTGTGTGATACTAGAAGTTAGACCCTATATCTTCTGAAGTTGGATTTTATTGCCATTGCTTTAACAGAGTGTATTACTCCTGATTGAAGCAGTGTAATAGGCTAAAGGCTAAGATAGGTGTGAAGGGAGGTGTGAGGGAAGGATTTGCCAGGTTTAAATGGCCGAAATAGTAGTAAAGACAGAATTTTACTCATGACACACACTTGGCATCAAACACCTGTCTAAATAGTCCCTCCTTCAGGGAGTGGTCCTGCAGCCTTAGCTGCCACTGCTATTCAGTGGAGGTTTCTTGAAGGGACTTTCCCTTTCTTTCAAAACTAGAGGCCCGGTGCATGAAATTCATGCACGGGTAGGGTCTCTAGGCCTGGCTGGCGATCAGGGCCAATCAGGGCCTTCCTTTCCCAGCTGCCAGCTGTTGGCCTGGGCCTTCCTTCATTCCGCACTGCCCCCTGGTGATCAGTGCACGTCATAGCGAGCGATTGAACTCCAGGTCTCCTGGTCCAACTCCTAAGGGATAATTTGCATATTAGGCTTTTAGATAGATAGATAGATAGATAGATAGATAGATAGATGGCTCAAACAGACAGTCCATCCCAGGCTAACTATACTGCTTGGCATTTTTCCACTTGCCATGTGCTTTTTATAACCACTGTCACTTTCCATCTTTAAAAAATGTTCTTATCCCTGAATCTTACCTATTTGTGGAATTTTTAGGATAGAGAAATAAATACTTAGTAGCTGCATGTGATTCAGTCTGTGTTTATATGACGTCAGTGCTAAATTGATATGGAGATGGTATTCATTGACTCTTTGATAAACCCAAACATGCTTAATTTGTTGTTTTTTCTTTAGAGGTCATCAGAATATGAGGAAACCAATATGCCTACTGCTCATAATCTTGTCCCTATCATCTATGATCAGTCCCAATACATTCATCATTTAGAGGCAGAAGTCAAGTTCTGCAAGGTAAGTTTCTCATTAAAAACCTAAACCTAGCCCTGGCCGGTTTGGCTCAGTGGATGGAGCGTCGGCCTGCAGGCTGAGGGGTCCCGGGTTCGATTTTGGCCAGGGGCACATGCCTGGGTTGCGGGCTCGATCCCCAGTGGGGGTTGTGCGGGAGGCAGCCGATCAATGATTCTCTCTCATCATTGGTGTTTCTGTCTCTCTATCCCTCTCCCTTCCTCTCTAAAAATCAATAGAATATATTTTAAATTTATAAAAAACAAAACAACAACAACAACAAAACGTACCTACCTAAATTAAAGTTCATATTAATAATTCCTTATTTATAAAAAAAACAACAACAACAACAAAACGTACCTACCTAAATTAAAGTTTATATTAATAATTCCTTGTGCGAAAATTTACTATTATTAGTCGTCATGTTTATAGCAATTATATTGACAATCGACATGCTTATGATTGGAAAGACTAATATGTATTAGGTTTGGGAATGATACCCTTGACCATGCCATTTCTTTTTTAAAAAAATATTTTTATTGATTTTTTGAGAGAGAGGAAGCATATTAATAATTCCTTGTGCAAAAATTTACTATTATTAGTCTTCATGTTGATAGCAATTATATTGACAATCGCCATGCTTATGATTGGAAAGACTAATATGTATTAGGCTTGGGAATGATACCCTTGACCATGCCATTTCTTTTTTTAAAAATATTTTTATTGATTTTTTGAGAGAGAGGAAGGAATAAGGAGAGAGAGAGAGAGACATCAGTGTGAAGAGTAAAACATAATTGGCTGCTTCCTCCACTCCCCCAACTCCGGATCTTGTCCTGATTGGGAATCAAACCAGCAACCAACTGAGCCACACTGGCCAGGGCAACCATTTCTGATTGCTTAATTTTTCAGTAGTTCATAACTCAACTATGTCTAACATTTTGATAATATGATCTCATGTTTCAGAATTTTTCTATCCACTCCAATTACTTTAGCCCAGCTGATTGAAGAGGCTTCGGAATAGTAATCCCAGTCATTCCCCCACATTTGTCAACCTATTGAAGCTGGGGTGCAGCAGGCAGGGACTTAGGCTACTAGACTAAACCTGCTCCATTGTCAGTATAAAGGTTCTTACCTTGACTTTGAATGATGGGAATGGCTCATGGGGATACTAGTAAACAATGATCAAGAAACCAAATGTGTCACCTATGGCTTGAAATAATAGACAGTTATATATTGCTTGACTCTATGGAGTTTAGTAATGCCATTAATGCCATTGGAGCATTTCTGACTTCCCAAAGTATGTTAAGGTTTTAGTTTTTCTTTCTTTCATTTTTCAATATCAATGCTTCAGGTCATGTGATATTTTTATAGTAGTTACTGATAACTTTTTTAATTACATCTTGACCCATTTAGTGTTGTCATTTTTTTGGATTTTAGAGTACTAGAGGTGTATATTGATATCTCATTGTTTTAATTTCAGTTATCCTCTGATGACATGTAATATTGAACTTTTTTCATATGCTTATTTTCCATTTATATATCTTCTTTGATGAGGTATCTGTAGAGGTGTTTTGCTTATTTTTTCATAGAGTTGTTCATTTTCTTATTGTTGAATTTTAAGAGTTCCTTTTTATTTGGGATACCAGTCATTTATCAGACAGGTCTTTTGCAATTCTTTTCTCCCAGTGTGTGGCTTGTCTTTTGATTCTCTTAACAAAGGCCTTCCACCGAGCAGAAGTTTTTGATTTTAATGAAGTCCAGCTTATCAATTTTCTCCTTTCGTGGATCTCTAAAAATCATTGCCAAACCCAAGGTCACCAACATTTTCTCTATTCTTCTTCTCAGTGTTTTCTAATTTTGTGTTTTACATTCAGACCGATGCTCCCTTTTAAGTTAGTTTTGTGTAAGATTCGTTATTTTTTTGTTTTTTGTTTTTTTGTTTTTTTGTTTTTTTTGCACATCCAAATCTAGTTGTTCCAGAAACATTTGTTCAAAGACCATCTCCATTGAATTGCCTTTGCTCCTTTGTTGTAGATCAGTTGACTATATTGTGAGTCTATTTTGGGGATCACTATTCTGTTCTACTGATTTATTTCTTTATTCTTTTGCAAGTACTATGCTGTTTTGATTTTTGTAGCTTTATAAAAAGTCTTGAAGTCAGGTAGTGTTAGTCCTCCGACTTCATTCTTCTCCATCAGTATTGTGTTGGCTATTCTGTGTTGTTGGGTTTTTTTGTATGTGTTTTTTCCTCTCTATATAAACTTTAAAACCAGTGTGCCAATATCAACAAAACAACATGCTGGGATTTTGATTGGGATTGTTATCTAGAGATAAAGTTGGGAAGAAGTTTCTGAAGAACTTCTTTTAATATTTCTTGTAAGGCAGGTCAACTGCAATATTTCTCAATTTTTATTTGTCTCTGATTTTCTACAGTTTGATATGCTATGGCTGGGTGTAGACTTCTTGGTGTTTTCCTGCTTGGTGTTCTCTGAGTTTCCTGGATCTGTGATTTGGGGCCTATTATTTATTTTGGAAAATTCTTGATCATTGTTGCTTCAAATATTTCTTCTCCTTGGTCTCTTCTCTTTCTGTAATTCACATTACATATATGTTACACCTTTTGTAATTGTCCCACAATTCTTGGATAATCTGGTCTTTTTCATTCTTTGTTTCTCTTTGCATTTCATTTTGAGAAGTTTCTATTGACAGTTCTTCAAGCTCATTAATTCTTTCCTTGGATGTGTCCTGTCTATTAATGAGCCCATCAAGGCACTCTTCATTTCTGTTGTCATGCTTTTTATTTCTAGTATTTCCTTTTGATTCTGTCTTACATATTTAATTTCTCTGCTTGCATTACCCTTACGTTCTTATATGTAGTCCACTTTTTCCACTAGACTCTTTAGCATATTAATGCTAATTATTTGGAGCTAATTAATCTGATAATTCCAACACCTCTGCCATATCCAAATTTGGTTCTGCACTGGCTTAGTCTCTTTAAACTGTTTTAAGTCTTTTAGTGCATCTTGTAATTTTTCATTGAATGTTAAACATGATGTACTGGGTCAAAGTGTTAACATAAAAAGCATTCAGACCTGTAAAGAATTTTGTGACATTTCGCCTGGAGAAACCAAGATGGCAGTATAGGCAAACACCGGAAATTGCTGCCTCCCACATCAAATTCAAAAATACAACTAAAAGACAAAACGGACATCATCCAAAACCACAGGAAGGCTGGCTGAGTGGAAATTCTACAACTAGAAGGAAAGAGAAAAGCACACTGAGACTCAGAGGAGGTGAGGTACGGAGGCGCACGCGGCAAGGGCTGACAACTAAGGACGCGGCTGTCTTTTTGAATCTGGAGGGAGTCACAAGCCCCCGACTGCTCTGAACTCCAGTTCCGGGAAGTCTCTGGGGACCCAGACTCATACGGGGAGAAACTGGACTGTCTGGCAGCGGGCAGAACTTGGAACTCGAGGGCGGCTTTCTCTCAAAGGTGCTTGCAGCCATTACCAGGACACTGAGACACGGGGCCCCGTAGGGCAGGGCTGAGGATCAGCCATAGCTGCTTGCTCCGCCCTGGAGATCCCGCCCCACCCAAACTGCCGCAGAGGCTTTTGCATATGAATGCCCTGGCCCTTTGCAATCTGAAAATTACCTAACAAATTGCAGCTGGGCCAGACAGACCCAGAACTTCCAAGAGAAGGCCCAAGGCCTCACAGCAGCTTGCATTGCTTCACAGCTGGGCCTCATTTGGGCACCCCCAAACCCTAAACAAGGAAGGGGGATCTGCAGATCTCCTTGTAGCTCCTGCTGGGTAGCCTCAGGCAGAGGCTAAATTAGCACCTCCTTAGATCCAAGAGCCAGTGTACCCAGTGGTCAGAGTGGGACCATCCAATTACAACTCCGCAGATCACTCAGGGACACACTCAG